CCTGACCGATGAAGAAGGCTTATTGTGCGTCACAACAGGCGGTCAAAAAGACCGACTTCTTTTTCACAGAAGAAGAAAAAAATAGTTGATAAGCAAATGGCGATAACAAAATCCCAAATGAAGTGAAATCCAACAGCATTGCCTTATCTCCCAGAGTGCGCGCGTCCGCCTTGTGCAGCGATTAGTACCAGCTCCTTGAACAAGCACCACCATATCCGGTTGGAACAATGGCAATACAGTCTAATAAAAGAATGATAATGATAAGATAAAGTAGAACAGAGTAAATTGAAATGATCTTTTTTATTTCGTGACGCATTATTACTTTCTGATCGAGTTTATTTTTAGCAACACGACGTGATGTTGATGAGAATGATGTCAGAGGAAATCATTCTAATAAAATAGACGACACAATAACACTGTAAATGGAACACTAAATAACAAAAAATAAATTTTATTTGGGATTTCAAATAATCAATCTATATTTCCCGGAAAGCGAGTACTCACGTATACCGCGTTTGCAATTTTGGCTCTCCAATTTAGTGAATAGGAAATACCGTTGTTTCGTAGCAGATAAACTTACACATAAAGGGTAGGAATACTGATAATGGCTTGTCACTACTGCCGTCGCCTACACACTTATCGTTATGAACCACGTGTGTGAATCTAAGCATGGACTTATATTGGTATCATCTAAACAAACAAAAACCCACAGACCCCATAGAGAGAGAAAATAAAGTAGACAAAAATAATCAGTAACACAGGAGGCTTAGTCAACGCTAACGAAATTCTTAAAAGTTCGGATTAAGAATAGATCAAGACGAATTACATCTCTTGTGATATGTAAGACAACAAGTTTGAAATTATGTAGTTTGAAATGCAATAGATATTCCGTGTTTTGTTATGATTTGTAGAAAACGTTCGGAGCTCTGTGCTGACCTCTGAAACAAGAGATCTAATATCCCTTGTATTTGATCATGAGATTCAACAGCATACAAGGGAATGATACTTCAGATATGCCATGATCAAAGGTTGAGATATCTGGTCCTACTGTATCTTAAAGTATTTCCCAATAAAATATCTTAGTTTTGAGTATGCCGCTGTAACCGAGCAATTAAAGACTAAATAGTATCCCATAAGAGGATTTTCTGACGGGAAAGACTGCAAAAAGCAGACTTATGGACAATCGCATCTAAGCTTCCTATCTACATACTACACTCTACCTTCAGCTGATTTGAACTAGATATGCATTTAGAGATTCAGCCAAAAGAGATCTGCTGTCATACGCTGTGCCAGAAACAAAAGGAAAGGTACAGTTTAAGTAACAATAATCTCGACGGCAAAATGTTTGAAAGCAAAAGTCTTATACACACTACAGTACATAATGTTATAGATAGAAGCAATATGGTGATATCAGTATTTATTATTATACACACTACATTACATAATGTTATAGATAGAAACAATATGGTGATATCAGTATTTATTAGATAAAGATTGATAATCGATCTTGAATGTAGTAACTGCTGAGTATGAAATGACACAGACAATCATTTGCAATATCGAGTAATGCTTGTAATATGAATATTTGCAATAGTAAGTGTACTGAAGAGCAGGAGAGAGGGAGAGAGAGGAGAGGGAGGTGGATAGAAGAAAAGGGAGGGGGGGAGGGAGAGAAAAAAAACAAGGAGGAGGAAAAGAAAGAGAGAGGAGGGCGAGGAAAAGAGAGAGAGAGGAGGGCGAGGAAAAGAGAGAAAGAGAAGGGAAGAGAAGGAAAAGAGAGAGAGAGAGAGAGGAGGGGGAGGGAAAGAGAGATGGAGAGAATAAGAGAGGGGAGAGGAGGAAAAGAGAGATAGAGAGAGAAAGAGGGAGGAGGAGAGGAAAAGAGAGAAAGAGAGGGAGGAAAGGAAAAGAGATAGAGAGAGAAAGAGAGGGAGGAAAGGAAAAGATATAGAGAGAGAAAGAGAGGAAAAGAGAGATAGAGAGTGAAAGGGAGGAGAGGGGGAGGAAAAGAAAGATAGAGAAAGAGAAAGAAAGGGGAGAGGGAGGAAAGGAGAGATAGAGAAAGAAAGAGAGGGGAGGAGGAGGAGACGAGAGATAGAGAGAGAGGGGGAGGAGATGAAAGAGAGAAATAGAGGGGAGGAGAAAAAGAGAGTGAGAGAAAGAGAGGGGAGGGGGAGGAAAAGAGAGATAGAGAGAGAGAGAGGTTAACGACAGACAGAGAGAAAGAAGGCATTAATAGGGGGGGGAGGAGTTCCAAGAAAGAATGGATAGATAGTGAGCAGTATTTCACGCACACAGTAAGGCAAGAAAAAATATAACACTCCAGTTGCCTTAAAGATAAGGACCTTAGGTATAAAAGGTGCCCCGACTGCCAGGTGAGCTGCAACTTGCAACATGAGACTGCTCGTCCTACTTGCACTCTTTGCTGTCGGGGTTCAGCCCTTTGGTAATTATTTTCATTTGTCTTTTCTCTCTTTTCTTATTTTTTTGTGTTTGTGTT